ACACTGATGTCTTCGAAGGATTGACGTAGGTATTGGAACCATCACACCAGGGGCAACATTTATTTTTTATCGATTTCTTTGTGCAACGTGCTGGCGATCTCCTGTCTGTCGCGCTCTTGTCGATATATGCAAATATCAGCGAATGACAGTCTTTTCCTTTCAATCCAGCTGCTGTTCAGTGATCATCACAGTATGCACGTTGAAAAAGACTGGTGACAGCGGTGATCCCTGCGGCAAGCCTAGAGACCTTTTGCGGATCTGAGGACCAGTTACCACTTCTCAGTACTGCCTTTCTTTGCAACAGAGCCTCGTCAATCCAGCGAATCAGAACAAGGTGTACTTCTAGTATAAGCAGTAAGTGCATTAGATCTCTTTATGGTACTTTATTGCAGGCATCTTCTAAGTCTACCGCTGCCGCACATGTCTCCTCTTTGGTCTGAAATCCCTCGTAAACAACGTAGGAAAAGACTGCAGCATTGAACAAAGTCTCTTTATTCAACCTGAACCCTCTAAGTGTTGGTGAGAATTTATCAACAGTTCCAAATCGTTACTCAATCTTTGTGCGACAATTTTACTCCAACTGTTTGCATATTGTATTCTGCATCAAGATTATTCTCTAACTGCCGATCTTTAAGTGGTCTTTGTTCGGCTTTGACAGTGGGAACAAATAATCGTGGTACATTTCCTCTTATACCTGACAATTCCGATGTTTCCAAAACAAAAATAAGAGATTCACCAATCAGACACTAACAGTTGAGGATGCGACATCATCGCAAAATAAACCCTAAAGCTAACGTTAATAAGATAAGCCCAAAGTGCTGGACAGGATTTAAATGAAGTTATGGATATAGAGCGAACACTGTATGACCTACAATTGCAGAACAGGACAATATGTACATAGACACCCATATATGTATATATGTATATATATATATATATATATATATATATATATATATATATACATATATTCTCCACCCAATTGTTTTAAAAACTACATGTAACAAAGTAAGCTGGTTTGTTAGGAGGCACAACGCTGGAATATTAGGAGATCAACTAGTTTTGATAACCTTCAATTTCCCCCCAAAACTGAAAATTGAGGTCATCACTTGTCGGGAGATATAATTTTGCGTATTGGTTAATAGGAAGAAAGTCAACAGGTTCTGGCAACAATATTTTATAAAAAGTATTTGACGTCATTGTTGGCCTTGTCCTTTCAGAGAGAACCTAGTAGCACTTGTTTTGTAGGAGTCTATTGACGTCAATTGTCAGTTTAAGTACTCTATCTGCGTAGAATAGGATGATGAAATCCGATGAAATCGAGATATTTTTAGAAAATCCCACATGAGAACCTACCTAGTAAACAAGTTGAGACGTACTAGAATATTCTAGAAGCAGAAAAAGTGAAAAGAAAACAAATAACTAGCATTTCATCGTCTAAGTATAAATAGTCTGTGAGAAACCCTCACAGCAATTCTTCAGTCCACAAGACTCAAGAGAGGAGGGGCCAGTCACATGGACTCTGTAAGCAGCCTTCACTTGTAGGGATGTCAGCTGAACTCGGAGCATGCCATGTTTAGACTCAGAGGACGAGCGACTAGTCTCAGAGATCCTTGTAGTTGTGGAGATGCCAACTCAACACTAGAAGGAGAGGAGCCAGTCCATTCAAGCCTCGAAGACAGTCACTACAGAAGAGACATAAACGAGGCAACGAACTACAGAGACAACAAACACGATACATGGATCCATGATTAACAGAGACTAATTAGGTAGGAAACTATAGAGATTTTATAGTCAACGATCAAGCCGTTAGTACCAGACAGCACTAGAGGCCAGGTAGCAGTTTGAGACACTAGAACCAATTAACAAAGTAACTAGAGATGAAGAACACAACGCGAACCTGCGAGTATTAACATAGAGAAAATATTGCGCCTTTTAGAATATTATTGATATTGTTTGTGTTAATGCTGAAGTATCACAATAAGGACAGTATAGACAAGAACAGTTGTTTATAGACACCTTATTATACAATCATCAGAGCCGCGTGAAAAGCGTGCAGCTAGAAAGACCTCATCATCATTACCACCACTATCAACACGACCATCTTTTTCCTCGTCTATAATCTTCCAATCGACTCCTCCTGTAGCAAACCTAACGACGAATCTGGGTGTGACAACAACAATAGCAACAAAGAAGAGAGCTTTGCTATATACAGTTGCTTCTATGTATACCGTAATATGCTATTGGTAGGGGGAGAAGTGGGGGTGTCAGAATCGAAATAAATCGTGCTCTGTACGATGTTAGCTGTTTTGCGGAGAGAAACTAAGCAATATGGGAAAAAAATATGTGCAATGATGTCAATCCTCCCATATTAACTCTTACCTATATGTTTTTTTTTTTTCAACATTCTTTATTGTATGATCTTGCAAAGTATGTTGGCAATATTCCTCATTGTTGTTGGGTATTATTCACACAACTGCTTTTGACCTTTTGGGCAGTGTGATTAACAAAAACGTTTTCAAATCCTTTCAAATGTACATACATTCTTGTATTATCTGGACATGGCTCATCAATCTGATTGCTCGGTACTCTTCACACTCCACGGCTTTTGACGTTTTGGAAGGTGTGATGCAAAAAAAAAAAAAAAAAAACGTGTTCAAATCCCTTGAAATGTAGCCAGTATTATAAATATCATGACAAATTTCAGTGATGCTGTCACGCCAAAGCTGGATAATACTTTTTCAGTACAATATTTGTAACGTACCCCAAACACGGGGAATCAGTGGGAATTTCACAGCTGACTTGACAGACCACTATTTCAAGGTATGCAAGTGTGCTGATGCTGTGGTTTCTCTTCTAGTGTATTTTGGTGTGGCATATATTGGTCTGTTGGTGCGTAGTCGGAAGCTTGTTGATGCGCAATTTTCAGTGTACAGTATGGGTCAAGTTTTTTTAGTTTTTTTGGACATGTGAATGTATTGCGTAGGTGATATCCTATCAGCATTATAACTGAAAGTTGCTGCGTACAATCCCTACATGACATTTCTTTTTCTTTTCTTTTATTTTTTGTAAATTGTTGGGTTTTTTTAAATTGTATTTAAACGATGTATATTGTTGTTTTTTTTTTTTTTTTCTTGCTATCCTCCGAATTACGGTCCCAAATTATCGAGGTCGAAAATATACGCAGCCAAGGCCTCAGTCATATGTAAACTGAGGACCTCTTTCAGGCGACTATATCGCCACTGCCGAGAGTATCCCCTGCTCCGCTACGCCACGCGCGGGCAATACTCTTGGCGGTGTCGGCATAGTCGCCCTAAAGATGTCCGCAATTTGCCGCACGGGTATGTCCAGACGACAGGTGGGCTTTCGACACCGGCAAACGGTCGTGTGTCTTTCCGACAGCGATAATACACCATCTATAGGATGGTTGTTTCTGCAACATCTCGTTCTGTGCAGAATGCTTAGCTGTTGCAGGAAGGCAATGCAGGACTCCTTGTCTCGTAGTAACCAGACGCGGCAAAGATGAAGACTGCTGACGCGAGGTAAACATATGTCATAAGAGGCGCCAACAAGCGCGCGCTTTTGCCATGCACACTAGAAGGAAAAATTCCCCTATCTCCCCCCCCCCCCTCCCCATCCTTACCCCCCTTGAAATTGTTTGTCTCTCGTGACATCACCGTGACGTCATGGGGTAAGTTAAAATTATTTAACTGCTTTTTCTTTGTGTTGCATTTTTGTCAGGTCGTGTGGCTTTTACATGCCTCATGTTCTTAACAACCTTCTCTACTTCATCTTTTAAAATGTTTGGTCCATTGTGAAGATTAAACAGTATTGATTTCATGCCTCTGTTGTCCCACTGAATAGGTCCTCTATTCAGTCAACATTTTGATTATATCATTTTTATCAACTATATTTTTCATCTCTGATGCAACGATTTCCTGTTAAATTTTCATCCTCTTTGTGAGCATTCTCATGTTTCCAAGCGATACCGTTGTGTTATGTTTACTTCCCAGTTCCTCTGTTTCTTTATATTTCTCCTCAAACCCATGTCTCTTTAGTAACTCTTCACATGCTACATATTTCTTTGTATATTGTTTAATATTTAATCCCCCCCCCCCCCCAAAAAAAAAAAAAAAATTGTTGCTTTCTTTGAATCATTTTATTCATAATTTCTGCAGTCATCAGTGCTTATTTCTTCATTTCTTTAAATGGTAATTTGGCTTTGAAGTTTGTGTACTAGTTTTAACTCTTTGAGTCCCAAGGAAAGCATCATACGTTCACATGTTCCTACCTAGAAGCCCAATGAACGCACTATGCGTCGATTGTATGACTCTCTTTACTACCACCTGGGTTTGTGATGCTAAACCGCCTGGGACTAAGAGTTAAGACATCTCCACTGTTTATCAATTTTCTCCTCTGGGTTTTCAAGCCGGTATTGTTCTATGCGTTCAGTTATTAGCTTGTCATATGCGTTTTTAACTTCCACCAGATCAGGTTGTTTCAATTTTGATGTTTCTGTTTCTGATTCCGTCGATGCTCTTTGACTAAAATGTGTCAGTTTTTTTTAATATAACAACAGGGTTGTGAATCGAGTTTATGTCGGCACCAGGATATGATTTGGAATTATCAACACTATTTTTCAAAGTATGGTTCTTATCATAATAAAATCAATATGGCTTCCACTTCTGTCTTCATGAATTTTCTATGTATATAGTTTCCTAGGTGTTGAAGAAAAGTATTGCTAATAATGAGACCTGTAATAAAAATAATACTATCACTGCCACTATTGTACTGTACAAAAAAAAAATTATCGAAATGCCGGATGTCATATCAAGAAATTTGACCATTAGTTAATTAGAATAATAACCGCTGGGCATTTTTGCGTCTTTTCAAACGACAGTGTTATATACTCAGCAATTGGGAGGTAAGCCAATCACAAGCCACGGTGATGGTGACGACAACTAGCAAGACCAGCTCAAGAAGAAGAAGAAGCCAATGACTTACCTGCACCGAAAAATGTGCTGTACTAGTTGTTCCCTTCACATTCTTAACTTCGACAAAAAGGTGTATTATCGACACGCCGGCTACGCCTCTTGCGGATAGTGTGATCTTATCCAAGACGTTTGTTCCAGAGTATGCAACAAGAGTGTCTTTAAAGAGTGAAACAGAAAAGTAGGCAACACAAGGAAAAAGCAGAAAAAAAGCACATTTTCAAATTAAAGTATCGTCTCAGCAAGCCTTTTAAAATGTATATTATTTCTCTTTTGACTGGTAATCGCAATGTTGTCTAATGGTCTGGAAGCTTATTTATGAATCTTATGTTGGGAAGAATTATTTTTCTCTGCTAATGTATTTGCGTAAAAATATATATTTTAAACAAATGTGGCCAATGTGGCGTTTGGCATAGTATGCATTAACGATGTGTATAGACCAAACGTCACTGAACTGGTGATGTGGTTAACGTCATAACTCCTTCTTTTACTGCCGAAGGCATTTCATGGTACACTTTTTATGTGAAATCGACCACTGAATCAAGTTGTTGTTGTTTCTTTCATGCCCAAATCAGTATTCGGATTTCATCTCAAGATTTACGAGTCGGCAGTCAAGCGTCTAGTCAATAAAGCACCGTTGCTTGACATTTTTTTTTTCTCTTTAAATATTTTCAAAAGTGTCGTGTATCTCAGGTCGACAAGTCTTACCGTTGTAACAATTCATATTCTGGAAAGTAACCGTGATTGTGAAGTGAAATGGATTTATTTGAATTATTAAATGCTGTTTTGTAGGAATCACGTTTTTAGTAGATTTTACTGACCATGTCAGTCATAATTAATTCACCTGAGCTTAGACGTCTTGGAGACTGTAACATCTATTCTATTCTATTGTCTTCTTCACTTTTACCGGGTTGCAGCCCAGTGTCATGGTTTAAAATATTTGTTTTGTGCCTCTCGCGTGATTTGAGTGACAGTTTTCTGGATCTTCTGGCCGTATTCAGCTACTCCATCTATCCATTTTTTTCCTGGATCTTCTTCTGGCCTTTCTTCCCGATGTTCTAAAAGGCCTTATAGGCAATCTGATCCGGTTGCATTCATACTAAATGACCAAACCACTTCATTCTCTGTTTTTCAATATGTTCCATGCATGCTCTTGTTCCAACTTTGTCTCTAATGTTGACGTTTGTGACTCTGTCTCTTCGTGTATTGTTGGTGACTAGACTGTAATATAAAAGCCGTAAAGTACAATAAGACATGGGAAGACATAACTACATTATATAATCCCCAACAGCTAGTCAGGCAAGCTACTAAAATAACATCAGCATAGTCAACACTCATAGATCACATTTATGCAACATATTCTGATAACATCATAGATCACATTTATGCAACATGTTCTGACAATATCATAGATCACATTTATGCAACATGTTCTGATAACATCATAGAAAGCAAGATACCCACTACAGTAATGAGTGATCATTACCCCGTAACATGTGTATAATAAAATAGGAACAAAAAGTACCAAACAAATACATATAAGTTTTAAATTTAGAAGCTACAAACAATTTAGTCGAGACACATTTCTACTGGACCTCCTCAATTCACCTATTGGTCATGATTATCAACTTCCTGACTCAGCTGACGCTCTTAAATTGTCTGAAGACCTTCTTTTACCTATCTGATAAACATGTGCCAATTAAGGAGATCCGTGTGAAACATCAGACTAAATTCTTATAGATCACCCTGGAAGTATTTGAGATTATGAGAGACCGAGATTGGGCACATAAAAATAAAGACTTGATCAGATACCAGTCCAGTTTGCAATTCGTAAGGAGAAAACGAACTTTTTAAAAACTTATTAGTAAAAAAAAAAAAAAAAAAATACCAAAGATATATGGAAGGCAATTAAAACATTGACCAAAAATAAAGGTACTTCAAAGCGTTTACTGACATCTAACATAAAATCAGATGATTTCAGTAATTTCTTTGAAGCCGATATAGAACAGTGAAAAGCCACAATGACAAACTATCCTTGTGATTTATCCCTGCTTTCATCATTTTGCGAAAATAAATGCTCTGAAGATATTCCTTTTGGCTTAATTCTCATGTCAGCTGCTGATGTGTTTACACATCTAAACAGCCTCAGAAACAGCAATGCGTCCGGTTTGGACAAAATCAGCAATAGAATACTTCGCAGTGCTGCACTAGTTTTTTGCGAGTCATTGACTTTTATCTACAACCTGTGTCTTGCTAAAATATTCTTCCCATCGGCATTTAGGATTGCCAAAATTTATCCACATCTAAAATCTGGCTCCTTAGAGTGTGGCATCTTAAGTAACTATAGATCGATCTCCCTGTTATCATCACTATCAAAGCCTATAAAACCACTAGAGAAACGTATTCATAAATTAACATTTCTATATTTAGATCGCAACAAACTTATAATGGATAACCAATCAGGGTTTCGACCAAAATATTCTTGCCATACTGCCATAACAAACATGATAGAAAACTGGCATTCGATTCACTGCATTTACCACGCGCGAAAAACAATAAATGGTGGCCGAAAGGTCGTTGTGTTTGGAAGCTCGCTCTCCTTCGAGATACGCCTAGCCAGATCAAAGGGAGACAGAACAAACAGGAAACACCAAGAATGAAGAAGGAAGACATGCACCAGTGACAACAGGACGAGCGGTTTGATTCGGATGGAAGCATTAAGCCAGAAATGGCACAAACACCAGTATTCAGTCACGAAAGTGACGCAAATAACCCAGACCACAAATATAGGCGGAGACTGTTAGCAGCCTAGGCTAGCTAGCAGCAGTCTGAACGTGGTCGAGCTTTTATTTTTTTTCTCAAAAGGACTTGGACTTGGACAGCAGGATTTAGCAACGAGGAGGTCAGCAGTCCAACCAGTCTAACCCCAACAGAAGAAGCAGGGCTCTCGAACCCCGAAACCAAACAGTCTCACACTCCCCCTACATCACCTCTCCTCCTGGGTCTGACACTGATGTGCCACCCACCCATCCTCCTCTGACACTCCCCACCTTACTGTGGCACCCACCCCACCCCTCCTGTGCCACTCCCCACCCTGCTAGCCCAGCCTTCCTCCCACCCAAGTGCGGCCTTGGATGCCCATGCACCAAGCACACAGCTGTAGGCTAATCTGCATGCCGACCATCCTTCCACTATTCCTGTAGGCCTATCCTGGCATGAATGCTTTGCAGAGATCGACAAAATTGTAGAGGAGAAACCAAATTACTATGCGATACTGGATAGCGTTGCATTAGAAAGAAACAGACTGGCGAAAGCAATGCAGGAACTTACTGTGGAACGTACTAGGACAGCAAAGGAAATGGACAATCTGAGGAGAGAGATGGAAACACAGAGGAACGAATTAAGGAGACTGACGGAACAGACCAGAGAGGCAGAGAAAGGAGAGGACCCAAAGGAGACTACAGAAACTAAAGCAACGCCAATTGATAAAGCATATGTTCAAAAAAAAAAAGAAAAAAAAGAAGGAAGTTCTTAAACTCTTATCATTTAAGATGAACTTCGACAAGAGGATCGGTCAGTCCAGCCAGGAAGGAGGAAATAATGACGGTGCAGGGACTATGAGGAAGGAGAAGGAAGATAAGGCATAAACAGATCTTCTTACGTGCAATTTACCACATCCATATTTAGATGACATGCGCTAAGAAAAGACTACAGAAAAGCCTAATTAAAGTGGCATATTAGATGGGAAAATTAGGATTCAGAATCAACAACGACAGAACAGTAAGCATTATATTTAACTATAGAAGACAGCCTAATTGTTACACTAATTTGATTTGATTTGATTTGATTCAAAAACCGACATCACAGCGCTCGAGGCATTTCCATAAGCGCTCCGTCTCCATCTTCAGCAGACAGCGAAGAGATCGGATACCAATGGTGCCAGTAGCATCCTGATTAAACGTCCGTCTTGCCTTTACTCTTAGCTGGGAGCATCTGCTAGAACCACTCGTCCTTCCCAACTGCATCGGTCTCACCACACGATGGTGATCAATCTGCTCCTTCGAACTGTACAAGCTCTTCCACAAGACACTAATCACGTCTGCCTTATCGTGCATCAGTATTCTACAAAGCTGTGCAGAGCCAGCCAGTCTGTCCACCTGTTCACTTCCCAGAACACCGGCACACCCAGGTGAAAAAATCCAGACAATACTCCTCACCCGCGTCCTCCGCAGCAAGGCATGCCACTCTACACGAAGCATGTTTGACCTGATCTTCCTAAGCATGTTTCCTGAGTCAGTTACAATCACGATTTGTGTGTGTGTCGTGTTCTCTAGCCAGTGGAAAGCTGCAGTGACCGCCTCCACCTCCGTTCTTAAGCTGGATGTTGTGGTATCATGTGATAAGTTCTCCTGCACCAAACGTCGACGATTAACTTTTGCTAAAAAAAAAAAAAAAACTTCTTTTGCCTCTTGGCACTGAACCGTCTGTGTACGTGATACAATCTTCTAAGCGAGCATTATCTTGAATTCATTGCTGAATTTTCCCTCTAATGCACCTACTGACCAGTCCCTGCATTCCCGGCTCAGTGTAATTATAACCCTACACAAGTCTGACTGTTCATGTGGCACTTTGACTCACTCTCTCATCTTCTAATGTTCTCAAGGATGCAAACCTGTCTGATTATGTTTTCTGCCTGAGCCACCCATGACTTCCATCTTATCAGCCGCTGACCCTTAACTGCACCCAGAGCTTCGTGCAAAGTGTGGTCTGTGTCTGCAGCTACGCTGAGATATCACTTCGCCTGCAGCACCTTGTGCCTACCTGCAACAGTCGACAAACTAAGGATGTATCGCATACACACCACTGGGGTGTCTCTGGTGCAACCCAGAATGACCCGCATTGCTGCGTTCTGTATGCGCTCTAGTTTGTCCATCCAGCTCTTTGAGATGGAAAGCATTCACAGGCCATAATCAGCCACTAAATATGACCCTGAAGAAACGAAAATCCAAATTAAGGGTAAAAAACAACGGAAACGTTCGACGAAATTACTACGAATGATTTTGAATGAGCAAATGACCTAGGCTAAGCGCATCGATAAACTAATAGTAAAGTGCAAAAAGTACAATAATATGCTGAGACTGATTAAAGAAAACGGATGGGGAGCGCACAGGACACCCTAATAGTATGCTGCCAGTATTTAACATACAACATCCACCCATTGCTGCACCCTGCATATTTCCAACTGCTAGGCCGCCAGATCTTGCTGTATTCTAGCGTGGTTTTTAGCCGGGATAATACGTATCACGTCACCAATCTTTGCTATCAGGCCACTGATGGGGTGTAAGTGGTGGTTATGTGTTCTAGTCCTGACAGTATCGATCCACTTGTTTTCCCTATTTGCTGTCAGTCATGTCCTGTTGTGAGCACTACCAGTCATGTTTATGTTGTATGCATGATGTGGAATGTGATGGTACTAAATATGAATTCCCGGAATATATGGACGCACACAACTAATTGTATGCGTACATGCACTCGAACATTCATGCACTCAGACAGCACTACAAGCTTTCACTTCCTTTCATACTTATCCGTTTATGCATACCTATTTGACATTCCGTACACATGCATACTCTTTTTTATGTGTCTACCAATGCCTACATAAATGCACTCACATTCATGAAAAACGTGTACAGCCACTCGTAAGGACACTCACACTTCCATGTCTTGCGTGCTATTTATTGTGACCTGTCCGTTACTTTCTGGTGGATTTTGTCAATGGTGTGTGCTGATGAGGTTCTTGCTGGTGTACACACTTCCTTCCATTTATTCTCATTGATTAACAGGTTCATAAGATTACACATGTAGGTATGCACTTATTTACCGTATAGTCCCATGCAACCCCATAATTTATGGGATCCCGGAGAGAACAGTCATTCACACACACACACATATATATATATATATATATACGCTCACACATTTATGTATATACACACACATACACACTACATGAATACACATATACATTTCTATATCAATGCAATCGTTCATCTGTACCTTTCGCATATCTATATTCCCACTGTCCTCTCAATATGTGACCCCTTACCATTCGCCTACATACATCATTTCTTGTGTATCCATCCTATACATATATGCACCCATACTACACGCACTCTTCATTCTGCATCCACACGTGCTCACATCTATGCACCCATCATACTTACACTACTTCCTTGTTGCTAGGGTGTCCGGAGTCACCAACTGACCTATGTCTTCTGCTGTCCTAAGTTGATCTTTAACCTGGTCTTTTTAGTTTGGTTTGTTTTGATTAGATACTATTTAACAAGTTTTTGGATGTCTTTATTGCTATCCACCTGTAAACATTTGTTTGCAGTAATCTGTTGTTTTCTTTTTAGAAAATACTCCTCAATGTGTTTCCACTCCAATTTGTATTTAGTGCACTTTATTATATAATGTTCTACTGTAATATCCGGAAAGCAGTCCGAACATAGGGTAGATGTAAATATATGTGGATATCACCCTTACCTATCTCTCCATACTAGTTTGTTAGCTGGGATTTTAAGTTTGTCCCGTACCTGTGTGTTTAGGCTGGGTTCTTCACATTTTTTGTATGCATCTCTGCCATTAGTGCTCATCTGCCACAGGAGTTTCCACATTTTAATGACATGTCTTTTGACTATGCTATTCTTTTCAGATTTTCCGAGTCCTACTTCTACTAAATAATCACATTAGATCCTTTTTTGGCTGCTTGGTCAGCTTTCTCATTAAATATTACATCCCTATGTGCTGGTACCCATGCAATGGTTACTTGGCATCCTTTATTCTTGAGTTGGGTTGTTAGGTTTAAAATCTTTTCTTAAATATATCTGGTCTACTGCTAGTTTTATGAATTTTTTTTACGTCTGCACTAAGGACAACAACTCTGTCAGTATGGTCAATTGTGTTTGAGGTTTTCTTATTACCATCTCTAGTGCCTACAACATGCCGACTAGTTCTGCTGTGTATAATGCCACATGATCTGTTATTTTATATTATCTTTGCATTCCCCATTGGGGTGGGGGGGGGGGGATAATTATTCCTGCACCAACGTCCTCTGATTCGTTCTTAGATTAGTATATGCAATCAGGCTGTCTGATCGGATCTGGTCTATGTATTCTTCTGTATTTGTTTTGACCTCAAACAAACAGTGCAGTATTTTAAATAATACTTTTCATCAGACTCATGTCTCTCCTAGACAGTTCTAGTCTGTGATTTTAAGGATAAACGCTCGCCTCTAGAGTCCTAACTACGTCCCTATTATCGTTAATTTCTTGTGCAACTTCCCAGGCTGCTGGTCTCATTATATCTTTGATCGGTTTGTCACCTAGGTGGGTAGTATTATGATGAAAAGCGTCTGAGGCTGAGTCTCTGACATAGTTTGCCGCTTTCATCCAATAGCTTTAGGTTAATTGCCTCCTTCTGATGTTAGGCTGTGTTATGCCTAGTGCTACCTCCATGGCCTTTCTTGATGTCCCTTTGCCAGCGCCCATGATGGAAGTCAGAGCTTGGTACTGATTCCTATCAAGTTTACATTTGATGTTCTCTAATGCTGATTCGTATACTACTCGTCCGTATTCCATTTTGCATCTAACGAATGCTTTATAAAACTAATACAAACATTTGGTCAGTAGTTGTTTAGGGTAGATATGATTTTCACTCGGACCTTGCAACTCGTACATAGTCATAAAAACTAATCAACGGTTAGACGTCATATGTTTTTTCTAGGGCTGTACCTAATATTCGCTTCGGGGCCGAATAGTGGACCTAATAACTATTCGGTATTCGGTCGAATAGTTGCAGTCGGGCCGAATACGAATAGTGGTTACCCTAATCCCGTTTCTGCATACACTGTGATGGACTAAAATAACTCTCTCATTAACACAATATTTGCTGTTGCCTTAGCCTGTCGTAGAGGGGGAAACTGCGACTCGGTTGCGTGGTACAAACTGCATAAAATGCCAACCGCAGTGTGTGTCTGTGTGTGTTTGTCAGAGAGAGAATGAGAGAGAGAGAGAGAGAGAGAGAGAGAGAGAGAGAGAGAGAGAGAAAGAGAGAGAGAGAGATCATGTATTTTTTTTAAGGTGTCTTCGCCATAGTCAAATCTGAAGATATTGCTAACGAGAATATGAAGATGCGTTTAAATTACATCGAACAAACGGCCGAGCGAACGATGGTTTTGAAAGAGGTGGGAGCCCGAAGACAACTAATCACAGACATCAGAAGGAGACAGTCGTCATTTTTCAGCCATGTTATGAGAAGAGGGAAAATGGAACATTTGGTGACTACTAGAAAGATCTGTGGAAGGAGGGATAGAGGAAGACAATGATGGAAGATTCTTGACATTCTTGTTGCAAGGCATGGAGGTGTGTCAGCACACGAACTGATACATGCTGCAAGAGATAGCAGAATGTGGAGAGGCATGATCGCACACGCCAGTCGGCAAGTCACCTGATGATGATAATACACTATTCGTATTCGTATTCGGCCGAATAGTTGGTCCCACTATTTGTATTCGGCCGAATAGTAAAAATCACTATTCGGTACAGCCCTAGTTTTTTCACAGGAACATTCGGGCCCACCAACACTAAATAAATGGAAACGAAACATCATACAAATATCCAACTCTAGCTAATCATGAAATGAATAACACCAGCTCCGCTCCTTTCAAACACGCTATTTTCAAACAGTTTCAGAGGAGCTCGCTAAGACTCTTGAAGTCACCGCTGCAGTCCCCACGTCGCTGGCTATCCTCACATCAGGGCTAGCAGTAAGAATAAACAGGCTCTATCTGACTTACTCAGCTCGATCTCAGTTGCTATATTCGTAGCAGACACTTTTACATCGGCTGAGTAGAAATTTTCACACTGCCTAGGTTTTCTTATATGTACACAGCATATCAGTCTAATCGTGGAAATCTAAGATGCCCGGCAGAACTTCCTACTCCGGTTCCTCTCATGACACAGCTTTTGCGAGATCTACGAGGATCCTCCTCGTACATAAAACTGCTGTCTTGTTTCTATCGTGTTCAAGACTGCGTCGTCACCCAACAGAGAACGCCCAGCTCTTTCGACTATGCGTAACTGGACTTCTCTTCCATCAACTGCACTCTCGACTGCCCTCTTGACTATCATCTGTTCAACTGAACGCAACGTCAATATATACGCATGCATGTCCGTGCGCTCTCCATAAAAATTAAGACGCCCACAGTTATGCACGATTTACATCTTCTTACCCCGCATACCTTCGTGATAAGACTCTTGCTCCACACGAATTAGGTACAACAAATCACCCCTTCCGGTTGATACCTTGTGAATCCACTGGTAACATCGGTCCTAGGTCAACACAGACTTAAAATATTGAGTCAGGCCTCGCTGACATCTCCTGTCCTAAGTCAACACAGGCTCCAAATATTGACTCAGGCCTCGATGACACACTGAACCCGCGAATCAACTAGCCTGCACTACATTCAGCAAAACAATGTTGATATACCCAGATCAACACGCAACAGTGGATACGAAGACCTACAACGGCAATTGTCATCAGGTCATGAAATTAGGAAGAACATTTAGAGAGTAGTAAAGCAATATAGGTGAATTAGAGGTACAGCAAATTATAGATGGTGTTAGATCAATCAACAGATTGCTTCGATGGTTCTATTTATAAGAGTGTTCAGATCTGGCTGAGGATTTTCAGCTACAATAAGGAGAAAGATCACGGCAGATCTAAATGGAGCTTTTTTATCTACAACTTCAAGCGTTAGGATAGAGGTGGAAGCAGTCACTGCAGCCCTGAAGAAGATATCAGAAAAGTGAGGAATTATTGTGTCTGACTCTCAGGCGGTCTCGGGTTCCATATTTTGATCAAGTTTTTAAAAGCTGCTGATTCCTTGCCAGTGCGTTTTATATTTTGTCTTTGTGTAAAAATCACTGCCTAAATTAGTTAACCTATGAAGTGTAACAATAGCAAAACAGTCAGTCAAACTTACTGATTTCATTGCTCATTCCAACATTGTCACGCTGGTACAGCTTGTAGGTCAACGGAAGTCGGGATACATAGTCTACATAACCCACGCATTCCACAGTAAACCTTGAAATTGAAGTTTAGAAAAAACATTACTTCTCTTAGAGTTTCTAAACTATCTGTAGAGCTTGAAACACTGAATGTTTAGTGGTCTGCCACTCAAATTTCTTTATTGCAGAATGCGATTTTTTTCTTTTAAGAAATAGTTATGTTATATAATGTGGATCGTATATCTATGTATATGTTTGCTAATGAGACGCCTACCATAGGAGACCATAGGCAGGAAACATAGCCTTAAGCAGACCCTCAATGGACTGTAAAAGACAGATGAAAATGATTGTTTTTTAAATATCACACGATCTTTGCCCTTTAGTTCTCTCCCATCTCTTCATTGTGTGTTCGGATAATTTAAAATGCCTACGATAGGTAGGCAGGTAAGTTGTACCCCACCAGGACTTCACACAAGCGATAAACACCTGGTGACACAAAGTGCCACCATGTGGACGAGGATCACCCGTGGAGAGGCCCCGGAAACACCTCCCAACTGTTAGGCAATAGGCCTATTTAAGGCCAGCTTAATTATGACCAAGAAGTAACGAGACTCCAAATTAATGGTAGAACAGTTCAGCGGACACGTTCGACGAAATTTCTAGGAATGATTCTGGATGAGCAAATGACCTGGGCTAAGCACATCGATGATCTCGTAGTAAAGTGTACAAAGTACAATAATATGCTGAGAATGATTAAAGGAAACGGATGGGGAGCACACCAGGACACCCTAATACAATTTTATAAAGCTTTTGTTAGGGGCAAAATGGAATACAGAAGCGTAGTATACGAATCAGCATCAGAGAACAGCAAATGCAAACTTGATAGGATTCAGTGCCAAGCCCTGACTTCCATCATGGGCGCTGGCAAAGGGACATCGAGAGAGGCCTTGGAGGTAGCACTAGGCATCACACCGCTTAACCTCAGAAGGAAACAACTAGCTTACAGCTATTGGATGAAAGCGGCCAACTATGACAGACACCCAGCTTCAGACGCTTTTCATCATAACATTACCCACCTAGGTGACAGACCGGTCAGAGACATACAGAGACCAGCAGCCTGGGACGCTGCACTAGAAATTAACGACGATGAGGACTTAGCTAGGACTCTAGAGGCAAGCGTTAGGTTTGTCCGTCAAATCCCTCCATGGAGACAAGAGCTGCCCAGGACAGACTTGAGTCTGATGAAAATTATTAATAAGAATACTGAAACATTTGAAGCCAAAGCAATAACAGAAGAATACATAGACCAGATCCGATCAGACAATCTGGTTGCATACACTGACGGATCTAAGAATGAAGCAGGAGTAGTAGGAGCAGGGGTAATAATCCCACAGTGGAATATGCAAAGAGAATATAAAATAACAGATCATGTGGCAGTATGCACAGCAGAACTAGTCAGCATAATGAAGGCACTAGAGATGGTAATTAATAAACCTCCAACTAAATTTACCATACTGACAGATTCATTTTCCTCGGTGCAGACGTTAAAAACACATAAAACTAGCAGTAGACCAGATATTAAAGAGACAATCCTAAATCTAACAACTCAGCTCAAGAATAAAGGATGCCAAGTCACCATTGCATGGGTACCAGCACACAGAGGTGTAATAGGTAATCAAAAAGCTGACATAGCAGCCAAAAAGGGAGCAAAATGTGATGTTTTAGTAGATGTACGACTCGGAAAAACTGAAAGGACCAGCATAATCAAACGACACATAATTAAAATGTGGAAACTACAGTGGCAAGGGAGCAATAATGGCAGAGATGCATACAACAACCTTAAAGAGCCCAGCCCTAACGCACAGGTACGGGACAAACTGAAAATTCTAGCTAACAAACTACTATGGAGAGCTAGGTTAGGGTGGCATCCAGAGAAATTTACATCTCCAATATGTCTGGACTGCTTTCAATATAATACAATAGAGCATTATATAATAAACTGCACTAAATATAAATTGGAGAGGAAACCCATTGAGGAGTATTTTCTAAAACGCAAACAACAAATTACTGCAAACAAATGGTTAAAGGTAGATAGCAATAAAGACATCCAAAAACTGGTTAAACAATACCTTATTAAAACAAATCTAAACTAAAAAGACCAAATTAAGGATTTACCCAGTACAACAGAAGGAACTGATCAGATGGTAACCCCATACACCCTAGAGTCAGAGAGATAGTGTAAGTATGATGAGTGCATAGATGTGAACATGGATACATACACAAGGATGAGTGCGTGTAGTATGAATGCATTTGTGTATAGGATGGATACATAAGACATAGTGTATGTAGGCGGATGATAAGGAATCACGTATGGACAGAACAGTGGGAATATAGCTGTGCGAAAGGTACAGATGAATGAGTACATGGATTTAAAATGTATTATTGTGTGCATGTATATGTGGGTATGAGTGTGCATGTGTGTATATATATATATAAAAATATATATATATATATATATATATATATATATATATATATATATATATATATATATGAGCGTGCATATTTATATATTTGTGAGTGTATGAATGACAGTGCATTCAAAGAAACAATAAACTGTGTTGCTGTATGTCTGTTGATTAATGAGAACAAATGGAATGAAGGGTGTACGCAGAAAAAACATCATCAACACACACCATCCACCAAAACATGATAAGACAGTACCGGACAGGTCACATACCAGTAACGGGACATAACTTAAAAGTGACACGACCAGACGAAATTACAGACAAAGCGACACAAAACGCATAAAACATGGAAGCGAATATCACTACGTGTGGATGTACTCGTTTTTTATGAATGTAAGTACAGGCATTGGTAGACGCATATGAAAGAGTTTGCGTGTGCACGTAATGTCAATTAGGTATGCATACACGGATAAGTATGAAAAGACGTGCAAATATGTAGTGTTGTCTGCATGTATGAGTACTCGAGTGCATGTACGCATACACCTAGTTGGGTGCGTCCATAAATTCCGGGGATTCATACACAAAACCATCCCACTCCACAGCATGCATACAACATGCACATGACCGACAGGACTCATAACAAAATATGACTGACAGCAAATAGGGAAAACAAGTGACTAGATAATGACAGGACTAGAACGCATAACCACCAATATCACCCCATCACTGGGATGATAGCAAAGATTGGTAACGTGATACACATAGTCCCGGCAAAAGGCCACACAAGAATCCAGCAAGACGGCAACGACGAGAAATGACTGAATGGCCTCCCGCCCCTTTTCCCCTCACCTTTCCCTAACTCTTTTGGATGCACTCTGAGTTTAACACCCCAACCCATTCCCACAGAGAGCACTTGAGTTCGTTGCCCAACATGCCACAGCAATTCTCATCGCCGAACATTTGGATCTCAAAGCGTGAGCTGGATGGTCCGGTTATATGGTATTTACGTACACCGGAGCTTAGCTATCAACACAACCCGATCACATAATAACAAATGACGACTGGACCCGCTTAAGACTCCACATAAACTTTCACACAGACGTCGCAGGTCGACCCAGCCTAAAATGGGTACCAGGATGGGCTGTCCTGGGAAAGTAAAGACAGCCGGCGTAATGCTGACCACATTACCCACAGAGTGCTGATGGTCTCTAAAAATATGGGACGCTCTGCCCATTTGCCCGATGCGCCGAAAGGCGTGAAAAGGGATCTTTACTTTACTTTTCTTTACTATGTACAGGCAGATGTACTCCGACTTGCTCAAATAAGTCTACTCCTACCATTCGCTCGTTATGGAGGCAGTGGGTCTTATCCTACTTTCCCCACAGTGGAGCCCCGGAACCCACACTGGGAGCTAACCTTCAATGATAATGCATCCTTGTTTTCAAACTGTTTTATACGGCTTTGCAAAACTATTGTATGACTATATTACAATAAAATACCACCTAAATATACAAGAAAACGCATATTTTCTCCTGCAAAGTAAAAGAGGCAAACATAAATACAAACTGATATATAAATAAACACAAGAAAAGAAACACTAGAGATAGTCAACTAAGGTATAGCCAGGAAAATGTCAATTTTAACTATCTTACTTACTTCGTGGTAAGAGCCTCCCCGGTCATCGGTGAGACTATACACCCACGCCCTTGTGGTGGTGATTCTACCTCAAACTTGAACTCTGTTCTTCCCAAATAATTAATTGTCCTTAATCTACTCAAACCCGTCCAGACATTTGCTTCCACTGCAAAACGACACATTGCACTGATTTAAGTGAGGCCTTAATATTGATCATTACAATCATAATTCTGTTGTGCCATTTGTAAGGCAAATATGGCTTGCAGTCTATTCCTCTGTTCCGTTCCATTCTGCCCAAATAGCAAAGTTTGTGTATTTATTTCGATCTATTATTACGTGCAGTCATTTTGATTAATTTGATGGTTTTCAACCCGGCAAGCTGGACAATTTCATATGCGTTTAAAAAAAAAAAAGATTTTTTAGACTATCGCGTTTCCTCAGTCCATTTATTTTCCTTGGCAGGGCCTTGTGGGTGATTCTCTGCTCTCTTTTGTTTCAGGATGTACCAATTACAACCCTGTTTTTATTTATATTTCGTATTTGCAACTATAGGAAATGATTGTGGTGTTAGAAAATGGAAGAATGGGCCTTAGTTTGAATAATGGGAAGACAGAAGTAATGGTGGTCTCAAAGAAACGAATTATTCCTAAGTGTGTAATAAAAGTTGATGGTTTTATTTTAGGACAAGTACAGAAATTTAAGTATCTGGGCACATGGATAACATTAGATGGAAGATGCATAACTGAGATAAGAAAAAGAACAGGACAGGCAAAAACTGCATTTTATAAAATGAAAAACATCTTGTGCAATATATCCTTGTCATTGAGAGTTAGAAAAAGAATTCTTGCTTGTTACATACATCCAGTTTAAACATATGGCTGTGAATCCTGGACAATAGGTAGGCAGGCCAAACAATTCCTGGAGGCCTCGGACATGTGGTTTTACAGAAGAATGCTTAGAATACCTTGAACAGCTAAAAAGAGCAATCAAGAGATTTTGAAAGAGGCGGGAGCCCAAAGACAACTTATCACGGACATCAGAAGGAGACAGTCATCATTTTCGCCCATGTTATGAGAAGAGGGAAAATAGAACATGTTGTGACCACTGGAAAGATCTGTGGAAGGAGAGATAGAGGTAGACAACGAGAGAAGATGCTTGACAGTCTTGTTGCATGGCATGGAGGTGTGTCAGCACACGAACTGATACATGCTGCAGGAGATCGCAGATTATGGAGGGGCATGATCGCCCACGCCAGTCGGCAAGGCACCTAATGATGATGATGATTTGCAACCAGTTGTATTCAAACATCTATCTTTCTAACTGTCGTTCCATCTCTTCAGTGGTTCCAAAAGTACTAGCTTTAGTTAAAATCAGAATAGCATTCACAATATTTGGAATGTTTTAAAACTTATTTTCGAATGTTAACTTTTAGTTATCATTCGAAAAAAAAGTTTTAAAACATTCTAAATATCATGAATCAGGTGAGCAAACGACATAGAACCATGTATCTAAGGTTTATGCTTATCGAGGCCCATATGATTCTAACACTTGTTAAGATAACTGAAACGTCAGTAACTGTTACAGACGACTCAGCTGCGTCGGGTACAAATTATACAGTCATACGCCTAACTATGAAAGCCGCACAACTAAACCATGAAAACAAAACAAAAGATGTGCAAATAGTCTCGCGTCGCTCTCATTTAGCAGCAATAGATACACCCCGGCACAATAAGGTGTCCTTACTGTGAGCTCAGGACATTTGTGGAACTGGTTGTGGATCCACGACACCACCCCTACCTGGAGTTGTATATCGTATGGAACAACCGTAACACCATTATTCCATACATGCAAACACTTGTAAAACACCCCCAGCGTGGCGCAGCACTTTGACTGAAAATTGTACATGATTAATCAAACCAAGCAAAACCTAACATCTTGGGATTTAAGGTTTGAACAACGGATCAACATCATGTGCAGGAACCCAAAAGTGCTCTTTTTTTTAAAATTCTAACTGTGTGAGTCCCAAGTTGCTCAGCTCAGTGCACGGGCTTCGTAGCACCGGCGAGATCCTTAAATATTTTGGGTAGATTTTTAACTCACAATTTTGCCCGGGAAGCGCTGTTAGGCTACTGTTTTCGATTTTCAACTGCTGAGGGATCGTTTTCGTGCGCAGCAATGCACACCGGCGTCCGATCTCACTACCCAGAGACCAGGGAAAATTACTAATAGTCCACGTGAAAAAATCCCTGCCCTCACCTGCGTTTGAAATAGGGACCTCTGGCACCTCTGGCACTTGAGGCAACACCATAACTAGAGACCACGCAGCCTCACTAACACCCTGGGAACGTCCTTGCAACACTCGAATACGTCAAAATAATGTGTCGGTACAGTTCCATCAGTACCCACAACTTGAAGACGGTAACTTGCGACGGTAACTTGCGACGTTCACTCACAACGATGCAGGATTGACTCTCTGGTTGAAGTCTACGTCTGAGTGGATCATTTTTTTTTTAAATTTAATTTTGAGACTTGTTCCCAGTGCCATCCCGTCTGTGCAACTGACTTGTGTTCTACTGAACGGCGTGTAAACACTCATCGTACCTCTCGGGGACTACCAGGTCATGCAGTCTTCCACAAATCTTGGCTAGTATCATGAGATCTCATTCCCTCCGTTAATATTAATAACTTATTTACACGAGGTCTTAATATTCATACTTTCATGACCCAATCCTACTTATTCTATACCCACCCCGTATATCTTTTTATCTTTCTCTAAACGTGTGTGTATATACAAGCGACATACAACACTAATTTTTACTCCAATATTTGATTCGCTCTATTTAAATACTGCTCTTGTCTAGCCTAAGTGTGTCATAATGTCTTTCTTTGAATTGCTTGAGCAATTATATTTACTACACAAAGATTTCAAGTAATCTCTAACGTTAAATCTCGTTGTCTTTAGTGTGGTAATTGGTTGTCTAAACTTGTTTGAGGATTATCCCATTTCCTGTGATATTGCACCTGGTCTTCTAAGACCGGGAGTCTTCGCAGAACGATTCTCCCAATTTCTTTTCCAACCGTTTACAATAATGATATTTACCTGTAGTTATTGTAGTCACCCTGATCACACTTGTTCTTGTACATAGTTATGATGTATGTATCTTAAAAAACGTAAATAATGTTCCTACTTTAAAAAAAAAAAAAACTTCACAATATGCGTTGTGTGTAAAAAAAAAAAATGCGTCGATGGTAAATGCATGACTTCAAACATACAACTAACAGGCATACGACGCAGCCACACAGTGATGCGGATGTACAGACATACACAAAAACGCACATAGAAACACCGTATCATACACAGAGACGCGTACACTAAGAAAACATACACACACACTCACACTTAGATACAACATATATGCAGATGCAGCACACACACACACACACACACCGCGTAAACACGAACACAACGAACAAACACGTACTCACATACATAAATACGACTAGTATTGGCACACACATAAATACATACACAGACACAGAAACACACAGACACTTACACGCTTACGATAATTAAAAATACCTATACATATTCAGACACACAGAGAGCGACACACAGTCAGAGAGTTTCAAATAAACTAAATGACAGACACAAATAGGCACGCTTATAAAATAAAAGACCTAAAAAGACACATCGATGCAAAAATCAATGAAGTGTGGACACCCTAGAAAGAAAACTACTATTTTTTTTTTTTTAAGCGGAGATGAGAAAGACAAACATGCTGCATTATCTTGATAATAACTGTCGCGTATGGATAACAGCTCTTCTCTTCTTCATAAATACCATACCAAGAGACGCAGATAGTCATGTCTATCCACAATATTCTGTCTCGTGTAATTTCAACTAACCCTAACATATGCAGCCCCCCCCCCCCCCCCCCCAAAAAAAAAAAAAAAAAAAAGAACAATAGTTATCCGATGGCGCGTTTTTATTAGTTTGCAAATAAAATATCGTACTCATGTAGGTGAAAAACAGACTCAAATGTTGTTTACCATCTCCAGTGGTCATGTGAACGTGAATTATGTGTGTTCTTTTTTTAAATTATTACAAGGCAGTGGTCAATTGTGTGTAAGACCATATTTGTGAACACAATGCGCGCATGAGAAAGCAACATAATTTGCGGTGAACAATATTCACTGCCTACGAAATTGAAACCCTATCAAACGATAACGCTACACTAAAATTATCAGTTTATTTTCAAGCAGTCACGAATGGTGCGTGCCTAATGTCGCGTGCCTAATGTAAGGATGTCTCCTTCAGAACCAACAGCACTCAGAGATAATTATGTTGGCTCGTATTGGTCTAAGGGATTCCCCGTGGCCAATATACGCTCAACTTATCTCTGGAGTAGGGCAACTCAAGTATTGGCACTACAAAATATATCAGTATATGAATACAATATTCCTAGGCACACTTGGCTGGACACCCCCACTACTTACTAAAGAAAGCCCCCAGGTTATGATAGTTCATTATCATAACCATGTTAACACATATAATGAAGATACATGCACACACAACTGCTAAACACTTAAAAAAGTGACATAGAGAAACCTAAGTCAGCCATGAAAATGAATGCATGTAATCAGTGAAATATAAATATACATATAATAATGAAGTGAATTCCAGCTATCAGTGGAAGAATCTCAGAATATAATGTCTAGATACCAAAGATACTACACAGACAGCAGGTCTTGGAGATGACTCTACGTCATCATTGGGAAACATAGGAGCTGTGAGACACAAAGCAAATCAGGCATCAAACATAGCTTCTCCTCTTTCTGTCTATGATGCCTCCCTCAGCTCCGGATGATTCGACTGTCTTTGACTCTGGGAATTCTGCTCTACTGGATCAATTTGTAAGAGAGTACCTCACCATAGAGGACACAGCACTGTACTGGTACTTAGCAAGTCTCTATCACCAGTTAGGACACACACTGTCTTTGAGCTACACTAAGCTCTAGCACTGGTAGGCTGTTTGAGTTATAAGCTCCCACATAGTGATGATGTCAGGAACCTTCACAGGTGTCAGCTGGTGGGTGGTTGGTTTATGATTAGTTTATGGTTGGTGGGTGTTGGTTGG